TTCCTGTATTTCTTCTGCTTTTACATACCTTTTCAGCTAAATTGAAAGATTGGTAATTTGTTGGTCTCGTACAGTATATATTTAACATTTTTGCAACCTACATAGTTTGTATGTAATGTTGTAATGTTTGGAGTTTGTTTTACTGAATAAACAGATGCTGGATCCCTCAAAAGTTGCCTCTTAAAAAGGTAATCTTTAAGAGACTAGTTGTAAGCAATGGCATCAGCAGAAGGGAAGGCACCTTATGCCGCTAAGTGTTTTACTCAAGATTTCCGGATTCCCCTAAATACTTCGGACCATCCTTCACCAGTTTCAAAAAAATTAGTATCTGATTGGATTCCTTGTGATTCTACTAATGACCAAATTCATGCCAATTCAGTTTGCATGTCCCATGATCTGAATTCTGATCAACTACCAGAAATGAAATGGTGGCTACATGTGAAGAGTGATATGGGTGATGAAACAAATTATAATTCCTACGAGTCTGAATTTGGTGCATTCTATGCTGAATTGCTTAATAGAAGTGTCAAGAGTGGGACAGATCAATTGGTCAAAGACTTCGATACTTTGTCTGATTTGGAAAGTGATAATTTATCTGTAGAGCACCCGCGGCATGTCTCTCCTACATGTATGAAAAACAGCAATGCAAGAATGCCAAAATTTGAGGCTTCACTGAATACTGATTTAAATCTTACTCCTAAGAAGAAAGATCAGGGGGAACTATGTTTTTCAGACAGTCGTTTTATGGATTGTGATATTTCCAATTTCTTGGTCTCTGAACAAGTTAAGATGACATCATCTGATATAGAATCACATTTGATGGGAGATGAGGAAACTGGCCCTTGGTGGCGCACTGCTGGAAAAGATGAATTGGCTTCCTTGGTTGCTCGAAAGTCACTTGATCATATTGAGAATTGTGATCTCCCTCATCCCCAAACTAAGCATGTTAGTCAGAGGCCTCCCTACCCTAAAGGTGTTGACCATGATAAGATTCTACCATCATCTTTGAATCGTAAAACCGAGTCTGGTTCTTCTGATGCAGATGGTTATACAACGGGAATATCCACGTCTGACTGCTCATTTCAGGATTCAAGTAAGCTTTCCAGGTAATGGATAGCGGCATACTCTACAATTTTTATTTGTTTTCTGCAATCTTTGCCATGATGGTCAGTCTATTTTCTAAGAAATTTGATGTTTTCTCGTGTTTAAAATATTGAACTTCCTAATTAATAATTAAGTATGACTAGGGTTAAGGATAGTTATTTATAGATGCTAACTACATTGAGGTACCTTGTATGCATGCTGTTTCCAATGCAATAGGGACTGAGGCTAGTTATCGGTTCCAAACTATACATTTTTCATCAAGATAGTACGTATTTCTTTTATATATCAGATAAGGATCACGAAGATGCCATCCCATAATTACTTATGTGGACAGGTTTTAGACTTTTTCTTTTATTTCGATGGATGTTTGGCTCTGACTGATTGCCCTTACCGATTTCAAAGTAGTTTTAGTTATCCATCTCATGCTATCGGGTAATTTGATGATATACAAATTTAACTGAATTTAATCCTTTTTTTGCATCTGATAACCAATTAATTGTATGAATGTATAGAGCTACCAACATGGGTAGAAAATATCATACTTTTGTGAATTTAATTCAACAAAAAAAGCAATGATGGTTTTGCCTAAGCTTTTAGAAATATATGTAAATGCTCTCTTTTAAAGCTATATTTCGATCCTTGAGGGACATGTTTTATCTTATGACCTTGAAAGATGTGCACGGACGCTCTATTCTTGGAAATTTAAGATACAATGATAGAACATAATTGTTGTAGTAGATATCTATCGAATTCCTGTTCATGCAACACGGTTTCATTACTAAAACACACACTTGGTGACTTTTTTTTTGGAATTTTTTCTTCCAACTTTTGTACTGCCGAGTTGAAATTTATTGATTATTCTATGATCAATTTATTAATAATTATGCTTCTTATGTTCAGTTTCATCCAGAGCACAGATTCTAGTTCAAGCAACAAAGGATGGCACACAAATTCTGAGAACAGTAGCATGTCTGAGCTATTGAAAGCTTTGTGTTACTCTCAAACAAGAGCAAGAGAGGCTGAGAAAGCAGCACAGCGAGCTTACAGCGAGAAGGAGCACATCCTGAGTCTCTTTTTTCGACAGGCATCACAACTCTTTGCTTACAAGCAGTGGCTCAACATGCTGCAGCTGGAGAACCTCTGCCTGCAACTCCGAAACAAAAACCAGTCATTGATAAATCTCTTTCCCGCATCCTTACCCTGGTCCCCGTGTAGGGGAATGCTGCTTAAGAAGAGTCATGACAAAGCTGGGAAGCGGAAGAATAGTAACAGAAGATGTGGGATTACAAAGTGTGTTGTTGCTTTTGCGGTGGGAATAGGCCTTGCCGGTGCTGGCTTGCTTCTCGGTTGGACCATGGGATGGATGTTTCCACCGTTATAAATTCCATCTTGGTTAAGTTCATGCTTCTGTTATGATTTTCTGGAATTTGAGTTCTGTTGTGCAGAAAAGATTCACATGAGTGGATATACAATGTTATCCATGGTTTCCATGCCTACATTTGTGTATATTCCTCATACATTTGAGACCAATAGTTGTATATATTCAAGAACATATAGTGTAGAAATATCCACGTCCACCTATTGGGGAAAGGCTTAGTCGTGGCTGTAGTGCAAGAAGAATACGTTTAGTAGATAAGTATAAAGTTTGCTTTTANTGAGTGGATATTGTCCTATACGAGAGTGACGTGCAACTAATTAAATGGTTAGGATGCAAATCTAACCATCGTTTTCTTGATTAGGAAAAATGGATAACTGATTAAATAAAATGATTGAAATCAGTGGGTAGGTGATAATGATCCCATTTTCTGAAAAGGAAACAGAAATAAGAAACAAGTAATGACATAAATAATTGTGGTACATTTATAGAGAAAAAGTATTTAATGCCTTAAAATGTAAAATATATTTAATATTTAATTCTTACCATAAAAAGATAAAAGTTAAACTAAAAATGTTGAAAAAGGGATTAAAATTATTTACAATAACCACGCAAAATATTTTCAAAGAAGAGTCACAAGGGGCTGCGCAGGTGTCACGGTTAGAAGCCTTTGCAAACTTCGTTGAGAACGATGTTGAGTTTCCGAGAAAATCTGGACACTTGGACACGTGAGAGAATAAAGAAGTTATGCAAAAAAAAAACAATTTTTATGTTTTTTAGTTTGATTTAATAATTTTAAAATCAATTATATAATTATAAGAAAATTGAATCATCATAATAGTAGAAAAAGCAAATATATTTATTAAGGGCACACCAATTGATGTTAGAGACGGAGTGGAATAGAAGGATGAGGGAACAATAATTCAAAAAGCATAGGATGGGACTGTGACAAGGGAACAAAAAAGAAAGATATTTAGGAGCATGGTGTAAGTAACACAATTATTGATACTCTTGTTATTTTTCCTTTGACATGGTGGGAATACAAGGACCATGCTTTTACATCAGTATTACTCACAAATGCAAAACACGCACTCTCTTGGACAGGTGTACAAGCAAAGTCTCAGACATGTTTCGGTGTTACAAGGAAGCTCATTTCTGATTATAATCAAGGCAAGTTCTCTCTCTTTCTCTTTCTCTCTGTCCTTAGATCAGTTAACTGAATATTCTTGTCCTTGCTTCTTTGGGATCTCATGTAGTTTGTACTGTCCAGTTTCGCTGGACCTTTTATCTTCTTTTGTTGGGATTTATGCCAGATAGATCTTTTTTGTTTCCCTTTCATGGGGTTTCATAGTTTGGGGGTGTAACTGGCAAGAGAATTCGAGAAAGTTCACATCTACGTGATGTTCTGTCTGAGACACTCAGTTCTTCCTGAAAATTTAAGCGGAATTCTGCACACCCAAAACCAACATGTTCCTTGTCTGTCAATTAACCACCCAAAGTTTTTTTTTTAACTGTTGCATTGGTTATATTACTTACCAAAAGCTACTTAATGATTGTGGGTTTTCATGACTCCAGTTTAAGGTTCTTGGACAATTAGTTTTCTTGGGAAGGTTTGTTCTTGTTGGATTTCTTTTCCTCTCATAAATTTTTGTTGAGTCATTGACCTTTTGGTTTTCTTGCTTTCCTGCTTGACTGGCGTTTGAAGATGAATGTTCTTTCTCTGTTAATGACAGGGAAATAGAAATATGATTAATAATCAACATTCTATAATGATTTTTGTGGGGATTTTGGCAACGATTTTTAGAGCTGGTGGACCTAGTTTTCCTGTATTTCTTCTGCTTTTACATACCTTTTCAGCTAAATTGAAAGATTGGTAATTTGTTGGTCTCGTACAGTATATATTTAACATTTTTGCAACCTACATAGTTTGTATGTAATGTTGTAATGTTTGGAGTTTGTTTTACTGAATAAACAGATGCTGGATCCCTCAAAAGTTGCCTCTTAAAAAGGTAATCTTTAAGAGACTAGTTGTAAGCAATGGCGTCAGCAGAAGGGAAGGCACCTTATGCCGCTAAGTGTTTTACTCAAGATTTCCGGATTCCCCTAAATACTTCGGACCATCCTTCACCAGTTTCAAAAAAATTAGTATCTGATTGGATTCCTTGTGATTCTACTAATGACCAAATTCATGCCAATTCAGTTTGCATGTCCCATGATCTGAATTCTGATCAACTACCAGAAATGAAATGGTGGCTACATGTGAAGAGTGATGTGGGTGATGAAACAAATTATAATTCCTACGAGTCTGAATTTGGTGCATTCTATGCTGAATTGCTTAATAGAAGTGTCAAGAGTGGGACAGATCAATTGGTCAAAGACTTCGATACTTTGTCTGATTTGGAAAGTGATAATTTATCTGTAGAGCACCCGCGGCATGTCTCTCCTACATGTATGAAAAACAGCAATGCAAGAATGCCAAAATTTGAGGCTTCACTGAATACTGATTTAAATCTTACTCCTAAGAAGAAAGATCAGGGGGAACTATGTTTTTCAGACAGTCGTTTTATGGATTGTGATATTTCCAATTTCTTGGTCTCTGAACAAGTTAAGATGACATCATCTGATATAGAATCACATTTGATGGGAGATGAGGAAACTGGCCCTTGGTGGCGCACTGCTGGAAAAGATGAATTGGCTTCCTTGGTTGCTCGGAAGTCACTTGATCATATTGAGAATTGTGATCTCCCTCATCCCCAAACTAAGCATGTTAGTCAGAGGCCTCCCTACCCTAAAGGTGTTGACCATGATAAGATTCTACCATCATCTTTGAATCGTAAAACCGAGTCTGGTTCTTCTGATGCAGATGGTTATACAACGGGAATATCCACGTCTGACTGCTCATTTCAGGATTCAAGTAAGCTTTCCAGGTAATGGATAGCGGCATACTCTACAATTTTTATTTGTTTTCTGCAATCTTTGCCATGATGGTCAGTCTATTTTCTAAGAAATTTGATGTTTTCTCGTGTTTAAAATATTGAACTTCCTAATTAATAATTAAGTATGACTAGGGTTAAGGATAGTTATTTATAGATGCTAACTACATTGAGGTACCTTGTATGCATGCTGTTTCCAATGCAATAGGGACTGAGGCTAGTTATCGGTTTCAAACTATACATTTTTCATCAAGATAGTACGTATTTCTTTTATATATCAGATAAGGATCACGAAGATGCCATCCCATAATTACTTATGTGGACAGGTTTTAGACTTTTTCTTTTATTTCGATGGATGTTTGGCTCTGACTGATTGCCCTTACCGATTTCAAAGTAGTTTTAGTTATCCATCTCATGCTATCGGGTAATTTGATGATATACAAATTTAACTGAATTTAATCCTTTTTTTGCATCTGATAACCAATTAATTGTATGAATGTATAGAGCTACCAACATGGGTAGAAAATATCATACTTTTGTGAATTTAATTCAACAAAAAAAGCAATGATGGTTTTGCCTAAGCTTTTAGAAATATATGTAAATGCTCTCTTTTAAAGCTATATTTCGATCCTTGAGGGACATGTTTTATCTTATGACCTTGAAAGATGTGCACGGACGCTCTATTCTTGGAAATTTAAGATACAATGATAGAACATAATTGTTGTAGTAGATATCTATCGAATTCCTGTTCATGCAACACGGTTTCATTACTAAAACACACACTTGGTGACTTTTTTTTTGGAATTTTTTCTTCCAACTTTTGTACTGCCGAGTTGAAATTTCTTGATTATTCTATGATCAATTTATTAATAATTATGCTTCTTATGTTCAGTTTCATCCAGAGCACAGATTCTAGTTCAAGCAACAAAGGATGGCACACAAATTCTGAGAACAGTAGCATGTCTGAGCTATTGAAAGCTTTGTGTTACTCTCAAACAAGAGCAAGAGAGGCTGAGAAAGCAGCACAGCGAGCTTACAGCGAGAAGGAGCACATCCTGAGTCTCTTTTTTCGACAGGCATCACAACTCTTTGCTTACAAGCAGTGGCTCAACATGCTGCAGCTGGAGAACCTCTGCCTGCAACTCCGAAACAAAAACCAGTCATTGATAAATCTCTTTCCCGCATCCTTACCCTGGTCCCCGTGTAGGGGAATGCTGCTTAAGAAGAGTCATGACAAAGCTGGGAAGCGGAAGAATAGTAACAGAAGATGTGGGATTACAAAGTGTGTTGTTGCTTTTGCGGTGGGAATAGGCCTTGCCGGTGCTGGCTTGCTTCTCGGTTGGACCATGGGATGGATGTTTCCACCGTTATAAATTCCATCTTGGTTAAGTTCATGCTTCTGTTATGATTTTCTGGAATTTGAGTTCTGTTGTGCAGAAAAGATTCACATGAGTGGATATACAATGTTATCCATGGTTTCCATGCCTACATTTGTGTATATTCCTCATACATTTGCGACCACTAGTTGTATATATTCAAGAACATATAGTGTAGAAATATCCACGTCCACCTATTGGGGAAAGGCTTAGTCGTGGCTGTAGTGCAAGAAGAATACGTTTAGTAGATAAGTATAAAGTTTGCTTTTACTACCAAATGTACTTAGTAATTACTTGAAATATGTAAACAGTCAAAATAGTTAGTCAGGTCTGTGGGTCACAGATGGATGTCATTCCCATATTAGGTGCTCGATCTGTTTATCTCTCACTTTTTGTGTATCTCTTCATCCTTTAGCTTTCAATTCTTCTATAGCTCCTCTTATTATTCTTCTGGTTTTTAATTTGTATCTTCCTCTTTTCTTCCAATTCTATTCTTGTATTTGCAAATGCAATCCCTTAATTCTTTTTCTGTGATCTGAGAAGAGTCTTTGACTTCTCTTATCAACTTGATCTTCAAGGGGAATTACGGTTATACCCATCGGTATGTTTTCTTACACATGTGAACTGACCAACTAAGATAAACATTTAGAAAACAGTGATCTTCCGGTGATAATAATGTTGTTACCAATGTTGTTAGAGGAGTTTCACTGTACTTTCTGTTACTTGTTGCACCATCACTAATAATATTATATAACACATATTACCACTACACATCACAGATTCTGATGGGGCACGGAAAGGTTTGCCATGTTGCATGAAAGTTTCCCTTTGTCCATGTCTGAAGATCATTCACTATCTTCACAAAATCTTATTTGAAAACTTAAATTTAAAGCAATAATTGGTTAGAAGAAATGTTTATCGAATAACGATGACCATTACAGTGGTCTCGAAATGGACTGTAG